CCCTCTTCAGGTTCTCTATTTTCATTAACCTGCTTAGAAACTCTACCAAAGTTTTCCTGTCTTTCACAGTAAGAACAGTCTTCACAAGGCCTCCTAGATAAACCATCTGCATTCAGGTGTTTAGTGCCAGCCCGATGTTCTATCTTGAAGTCATACTGCCCTAGCCTTTCCATCCACCTAGCCAATTGGCCCTCTGGTTCTTTGAAACGCATCAACCAAGTCAAAGCTCCATGATCAGTTCGAACCCTAAAGTGACTGCCATAAAGATAATGATGAAAGACCTTCACAGCTCTGACAATTGCTAAAAGCTCAAGCCTGGTGACACAATAGTTTCTTTCTGTTTTACTCAGAGACTTACTATAATGACTAAGGACCTTGACCTCACCATCAACTTCCTGTTGAAGTACAGCGCCAACCTGACAAGCAGAAGCATCTGTGTCAAGAATGAACTCTTTGGATTTATCAGGAAAATTCAACATGGCTGATCCAATATACCTTCTCTTCAATTCATCAAAGGCTTTTTGACAATCAGAATCCCAATTGAAGCGAACGCCCTTCTCAGTGAGCTTGTACAAAGGCCTAGCAATACCAGAAAAGTCTTTGATAAATTTCCGATAATAGGAACAGTAACCCACAAAAGATTGAATTTGTTTGACAGTTCTTGGCACAGGCCACCCAACAATAGATTCAGTTTTCTTTGGATCAATTCGCACCCCTTGTTCAGAGACAATATGACCTAGATATGACACCTCACGTCTGGCTCATAATTGTCTACTGGATTCTGTACCACTTTGGTGATAATTGAATTTTTGATTCCTTTGTCGGTCCTCCCGTCTATTACTATTATGCTAGGCTTTCTGTCTAAGTCTCTGTGCTGGTCTGCGATTTGGCAACAAATCTCGCAATGTATTCCCCATTTTAAGAGAGAAATCTCCGATTCTACTGGAGTTAACGTATCTTTATGAGCTACGCTCATTAATTAATTAATTAATTACGAACCAATCGGTTCTTTCTAATATTATAAGACTCAGCCAGGAAAAGGCTCATCATATTATTCCTAAGTCCTTCATTGACTTTCTCCTCTGGATTTCCCCCTTCCAACAGAAATGGTTTGAATCCTTTCTCATATCCATCTAGCATGTATACTAGTCTTTTAATATTACCCAAGGTGTTTTCTAACTCAGAGTTATTGTCCATCATGAAGAGGACGGTCTCACTAGCTGTCAACAGTGCTAAATTGTGATGAGCAGATCCACTCGCTTTGTCCCATGCGATTCCACCTTGATCAGGGAAGCCTTCTCGTAATATATTCTTATCTTTATGAGCTACGCTGGCAATTTGTAAAATGCATCGCGAAGCAGCGCTTTGATGATGAGCTCGTATAGGCCAAGTGGAGGTTTGCCAGAACATTAATTCGACTCTCTCTTTGTCTAAAGGGAGCATAAATCGGGTTCTTTCATTGTCTCTAATAAATTGTCTCATAAACTGGTACGTACCTTGTTTGAGAACTTGAATATAGACTATCGGTATTCGATCGGTCTGTTCTCGTGGATGGGCTGGGCCTTTAATTACCCAACCTGATATAAAACTGTCTAGCATTACAGGAGCAATGCTAACACCATCGTAATTGTTCAGGAACATCACCTTGACCACTGTAGCAGCTTCCTCTAACCAGGATATTGTGGTTAGAAAATCTCGGTTTTCAATCATTTCTGCTAATGATGTTGAAGTGTCTTTACAAAGGTGATCAAATCGATTATAGCTCTGTTCAGACATCTTCACTTTGGAAGCTAAGCTGTTGAATCTGGTCATTCTTTCTAGGAGAATTGGTACTTTGGTATTTACACCTTTAATAGGTGCAGTATTGTCCTGATGTTTCCAGACTTTAGGGTCTAGAGCAGAAACTTTTCTCATATGTCCTTTTCCCGAAGGCCTGCTAGAATGTGCATATTTTCTTTGGTTAACTCCAAATAAGAATTTCATATTTTCAGTGAATGCTTCATTAGCAACTACTTTCCAATCCTTTGATTCCAAAAGGAGTAGCGAATCTCTTACCGCCCTCATTAAATAATGGTTTGACTCTGACTCCATGACTATATCCAATAGTCTCTTTCCACAACTGCTCCAAAGAGTCTTTCCTGACCTTTCAAAAGTCATTCCTGCTATTCCTGCAGGACAAACAGTATTCATAGTGGCAGGTTCTCCCACCTCTGTTGAACTTCCATCACAATGTACTAAATCAGGCCATTTTTCCTTTACTACTGCAGGACATATATTCCCTTGCGCAAAAGCATATTCAGTCAGGTCATTTAGGCCTTTGTCATTGAAATTTTTCTCATATTCTCGAGAAAAGAAAAATGGTTTATTCTCCCAAAGTGTTGGAAGTTGACTTGATTCCATCATGACCTCTAATTGGAGCCTTGTATGCTCGTCCATCTTATTTCGCAAATTCACAAGATAATCTATTATCATTCGTTGTTGTAGATCTTCCAAATGTTTAAGACTTTCATGATGGATGCTTGCACTCTCCAGACTGACTGCTACAATGCCCACTCTATGGTATATGTTTAAGTTCTCCAGCCTTTCTGCTTTGCGTTGATATGCCAGGTCTAAGCTATTGCTCAAGCGACCATATGATACACATATCTCTAACATCTGATTTTCTGATTCAGACCTTTTATATAGAAGAGGATCGCGCGTTATGCGACCTTCAGAATCTATATAATGTTGAACCACGTCTGGCTCATAATTGTCTACTGGATTCTGTACCACTTTGGTGATAATTGAATTTTTGATTCCTTTGTCGGTCCTCCCGTCTATTACTATTATGCTAGGCTTTCTGTCTAAGTCTCTGTGCTGGTCTGCGATTTGGCAACAAATCTCGAAATGTATTCCCCATTTTAAGAGAGAAATCTCCGATTCTGCTGGAGTTAACGTATCTTTATGAGCTACGCTCATTAATTAATTAATTAATTACGAACCAATTGGTTCTTTCTAATATTATAAGACTCAGCCAGGAAAAGGCTCATCATATTATTCTAAGTCCTTCATTGACTTTCTCCTCTGGATTTCCCCCTTCCAACAGAAATGGTTTGAATCCTTTCTCATATCCATCTAGCATGTATACTAGTCTTTTAATATTACCCAAGGTGTTTTCTAACTCAGAGTTATTGTCCATCATGAAGAGGACGGTCTCACTAGCTGTCAACAGTGCTAAATTGTGATGAGCAGATCCACTCGCTTTGTCCCATGCGATTCCACCTTGATCAGGGAAGCCTTCTCGTAATATATTGAAGGTTTCATTGGCAATTTGTAAAATGCATCGCGAAGCAGCGCTTTGATGATGAGCTCGTATAGGCCAAGTGGAGGTTTGCCAGAACATTAATTCGACTCTCTCTTTGTCTAAAGGGAGCATAAATCGGGTTCTTTCATTGTCTCTAATAAATTGTCTCATAAACTGGTACGTACCTTGTTTGAGAACTTGAATATAGACTATCGGTATTCGATCGGTCTGTTCTCGTGGATGGGCTGGGCCTTTAATTACCCAACCTGATATAAAACTGTCTAGCATTACAGGAGCAATGCTAACACCATCGTAATTGTTCAGGAGCATCACCTTGACCACTGTAGCAGCTTCCTCTAACCAGGATATTGTGGTTAGAAAATCTCGGTTTTCAATCATTTCTGCTAATGATGTTGAAGTGTCTTTACAAAGGTGATCAAATCGATTATAGCTCTGTTCAGACATCTTCACTTTGGAAGCTAAGCTGTTGAATCTGGTCATTCTTTCTAGGAGAATTGGTACTTTGGTATTTACACCTTTAATAGGTGCAGTATTGTCCTGATGTTTCCAGACTTTAGGGTCTAGAGCAGAAACTTTTCTCATATGTCCTTTTCCCGAAGGCCTGCTAGAATGTGCATATTCTCTTTGGTTAACTCCAAATAAGAATTTCATATTTTCAGTGAATGCTTCATTAGCAACTACTTTCCAATCCTTTGATTCCAAAAGGAGTAGCGAATCTCTTACCGCCCTCATTAAATAATGGTTTGACTCTGACTCCATGACTATATCCAATAGTCTCTTTCCACAACTGCTCCAAAGAGTCTTTCCTGACCTTTCAAAAGTCATTCCTGCTATTCCTGCAGGACAAACAGTATTCATAGTGGCAGGTTCTCCCACCTCTATTGAACTTCCATCACAATGTACTAAATCAGGCCATTTTTCCTTTACTACTGCAGGACATATATTCCCTTGCGCAAAAGCATATTCAGTCAGGTCATTTAGGCCTTTGTCATTGAAATTTTTCTCATATTCTCGAGAAAAGAAAAATGGTTTATTCTCCCAAAGTGTTGGAAGTTGACTTGATTCCATCATGACCTCTAATTGGAGCCTTGTATGCTCGTCCATCTTATTTCGCAAATTCACAAGATAATCTATTATCATTCGTTGTTGGAGATCTTCCAAATGTTTAAGGCTTTCATGATGGATGCTTGCACTCTCCAGACTGACTGCTACAATGCCCACTCTATGGTATATGTTTAAGTTCTCCAGCCTTTCTGCTTTGCGTTGATATGCCAGGTCTAAGCTATTGCTCAAGCGACCATATGATACACATATCTCTAACATCTGATTTTCTGATTCAGACCTTTTATTCAGAAGAGGATCGCGCGTTATGCGACCTTCAGAATCTATATAATGTTGAACCACGTCTGGCTCATAATTGTCTACTGGATTCTGTACCACTTTGGTGATAATTGAATTTTTGATTCCTTTGTCGGTCCTCCCGTCTATTACTATTATGCTAGGCTTTCTGTCTAAGTCTCTGTGCTGGTCTGCGATTTGGCAACAAATCTCGAAATGTATTCCCCATTTTAAGAGAGAAATCTCTGATTCTGCTGGAGTTAACGTATCTTTATGAGCTACGCTCATTAATTAATTAATTAATTACGAACCAATTGGTTCTTTCTAATATTATAAGACTCAGCCAGGAAAAGGCTAATCATATTATTCTAAGTCCTTCATTGACTTTCTCCTCTGGATTTCCCCCTTCCAACAGAAATGGTTTGAATCCTTTCTCATATCCATCTAGCATGTATACTAGTCTTTTAATATTACCCAAGGTGTTTTCTAACTCAGAGTTATTGTCCATCATGAAGAGGACGGTCTCACTAGCTGTCAACAGTGCTAAATTGTGATGAGCAGATCCACTCGCTTTGTCCCATGCGATTCCACCTTGATCAGGGAAGCCTTCTCGTAATATATTGAAGGTTTCATTGGCAATTTGTAAAATGCATCGCGAAGCAGCGCTTTGATGATGAGCTCGTATAGGCCAAGTGGAGGTTTGCCAGAACATTAATTCGACTCTCTTTGTCTAAAGGGAGCATAAATCGGGTTCTTTCATTGTCTCTAATAAATTGTCTCATAAACTGGTACGTACCTTGTTTGAGAACTTGAATATAGACTATCGGTATTCGATCGGTCTGTTCTCGTGGATGGGCTGGGCCTTTAATTACCCAACCTGATATAAAACTGTCTAGCATTACAGGAGCAATGCTAACACCATCGTAATTGTTCAGGAGCATCACCTTGACCACTGTAGCAGCTTCCTCTAACCAGGATATTGTGGTTAGAAAATCTCGGTTTTCAATCATTTCTGCTAATGATGTTGAAGTGTCTTTACAAAGGTGATCAAATCGATTATAGCTCTGTTCAGACATCTTCACTTTGGAAGCTAAGCTGTTGAATCTGGTCATTCTTTCTAGGAGAATTGGTACTTTGGTATTTACACCTTTAATAGGTGCAGTATTGTCCTGATGTTTCCAGACTTTAGGGTCTAGAGCAGAAACTTTTCTCATATGTCCTTTTCCCAAAGGCCTGCTAGAATGTGCATATTCTCTTTGGTTAACTCCAAATAAGAATTTCATATTTTCAGTGAATGCTTCATTAGCAACTACTTTCCAATCCTTTGATTCCAAAAGGAGTAGCGAATCTCTTACCGCCCTCATTAAATAATGGTTTGACTCTGACTCCATGACTATATCCAATAGTCTCTTTCCACAACTGCTCCAAAGAGTCTTTCCTGACCTTTCAAAAGTCATTCCTGCTATTCCTGCAGGACAAACAGTATTCATAGTGGCAGGTTCTCCCACCTCTATTGAACTTCCATCACAATGTACTAAATCAGGCCATTTTTCCTTTACTACTGCAGGACATATATTCCCTTGCGCAAAAGCATATTCAGTCAGGTCATTTAGGCCTTTGTCATTGAAATTTTTCTCATATTCTCGAGAAAAGAAAAATGGTTTATTCTCCCAAAGTGTTGGAAGTTGACTTGATTCCATCATGACCTCTAATTGGAGCCTTGTATGCTCGTCCATCTTATTTCGCAAATTCACAAGATAATCTATTATCATTCGTTGTTGGAGATCTTCCAAATGTTTAAGACTTTCATGATGGATGCTTGCACTCTCCAGACTGACTGCTACAATGCCCACTCTATGGTATATGTTTAAGTTCTCCAGCCTTTCTGCTTTGCGTTGATATGCCAGGTCTAAGCTATTGCTCAAGCGACCATATGATACACATATCTCTAACATCTGATTTTCTGATTCAGACCTTTTATTCAGAAGAGGATCGCGCGTTATGCGACCTTCAGAATCTATATAATGTTGAACCACGTCTGGCTCATAATTGTCTACTGGATTCTGTACCACTTTGGTGATAATTGAATTTTTGATTCCTTTGTCGGTCCTCCCGTCTATTACTATTATGCTAGGCTTTCTGTCTAAGTCTCTGTGCTGGTCTGCGATTTGGCAACAAATCTCGAAATGTATTCCCCATTTTAAGAGAGAAATCTCCGATTCTGCTGGAGTTAACGTATCTTTATGAGCTACGCTCATTAATTAATTAATTAATTACGAACCAATTGGTTCTTTCTAATATTATAAGACTCAGCCAGGAAAAGGCTCATCATATTATTCTAAGTCCTTCATTGACTTTCTCCTCTGGATTTCCCCCTTCCAACAGAAATGGTTTGAATCCTTTCTCATATCCATCTAGCATGTATACTAGTCTTTTAATATTACCCAAGGTGTTTTCTAACTCAGAGTTATTGTCCATCATGAAGAGGACGGTCTCACTAGCTGTCAACAGTGCTAAATTGTGATGAGCAGATCCACTCGCTTTGTCCCATGCGATTCCACCTTGATCAGGGAAGCCTTCTCGTAATATATTGAAGGTTTCATTGGCAATTTGTAAAATGCATCGCGAAGCAGCGCTTTGATGATGAGCTCGTATAGGCCAAGTGGAGGTTTGCCAGAACATTAATTCGACTCTCTCTTTGTCTAAAGGGAGCATAAATCGGGTTCTTTCATTGTCTCTAATAAATTGTCTCATAAACTGGTACGTACCT